TCCTTATCCCTGCTGGAAATACCTCGCCTAATACATCCCAAGACCGTATTAGCCTTTTTCACGGCCATGTCGCAATAGCGGCTCATAGTCATCCTATAATCAGCAAGAACTCCGAGGTCTTTCTCCTCCTCCGTTACTTCCAACTGATGTGTCCCCAGCTTATAACTAAAATTCTTGTTATTAATCCCTAAATGCATAACCTTACACTTCTCACTATTAAATTTCATCCTATTGCTATCACTCCAATTTACAAGATCATCCAGATCTTCCTGTATGATATCCCGATCCTTTTCTGAATTGGCAATAGCTCCCAACTTTGTGTCATCTGCAAATTTTATTAGGACACTTCCACTTTTGGTGCCAAGATCAGCAATAAAAAGATTAAATACAATTGGCCCCAAAACTGATCCCTGAGGAACTCCGCTAGTAACCTTCCTCCAACCTGACAGTTCACCTTTCAGTATGACCCGCTGTAGTCTCCCCTTTAACCAGTTGCTTATCCACCTCTCAACTTTCATATTAATCCCTATCTTTTCCAATTTAACCAATAATTTCCCATGTGGTACTGTATCAAATGCCTTACTAAAGTCGAGGTAGATTAGATCCACTGCATTTCCTTTATCTAAAAAATCTGTTACTTTCTCAAAAAAGGAGATCAGGTTGGTTTGGCACGATCTACCTTTTGTAAAACCATGTTGTAATTTGTCCCAATTGCCATTAGCCTCAATGTCTCTAACTACTTTCTCCTTCAAAATTTTTTCCAGGATCTTACATACTACAGATGTCAAACTAACAGGACTATAGTTACCCGGGTCGCTTTTTTTCCCTTTCTTAAAAATCGGAACTATATTAGCAATTCTCCAGTCAAATGGTACAACCCCTGAGTTTAGAGATTTATTAAAAATTTTTGCTAATGGACTTGCAAGTTCATGTGCCAGTTCCTTTAATATTCTTGGATGAAGACCATCTGACCCTTCTTTTCTCTCCCTGCTCCTAATGCGTGACTCCCTCCTGGGCAGGGAACATATCCTTTGTTCTGTAACATTCCTACCAAACTTTGAGCACTATGGGCTGAAGCTTGCTCTTCTAAAAGTGAACGGTTCCCTGCAGGACCTGGCCAGATGAAATCAGACGCTTAATAAGCAAATCTCAGATACACCCTATTCAATATAAATCCAATTCAATATAAATCCATTTATACCACATTTTAACATATCCACCAACCACATTATCCCCTCCCCTTTTTACTGCAGCCAAGTTAGTCCTTCATTGATGATTAGCAAATGAATAGGCCGTACGAAATTCATCGTCCATTATTGACAATTTCACAGCCATAGGATTTCAAAATTGGTAAATTTCACATTTTCAGCTGTTTAAAAACGGATACAAATATTTACAGGTGTTACAACATTTCAGGTATTCTAACTATGGAATCCCAACCTAAAGGATCACAAACTGGTTGAGGGAGGGTCATAGGATTTCCACCTCATTTCTGTGCTGCCTTTAGAGTTGCAGAATTTTCTGCAGCTGCAGGAAGTTCCAAGAGGTAGGTGGCAGATCTGATGTCCCCTGTCATGCTGGGAGCATCCCAGGTAGGAGTGACCAGGGTTGGGAGGGACTAGCTAGGACAATACTTGCTCTCTCTTTCCACAGCTGTAGAAAGCTCTGCACCTCCTGCCCCACTTTCACTTCTTGCCCCTGTCCTTCCCCTATGCAGTCAGACCTAGGCACCCCACTTTGATGGGGTACTCCCAACAGCACAGGGAACATAAAATCCAACTTCACAAGTCTTCTACAGCTGCAGTAACCTGTGGCTAGGTCTACACTAGAAGAACAACTTCACAAGTCTTCTACAGCTGCAGTAACCTGTGCCTAGGTCTACACTAGAAGATAAGTTCAAATTAAGATATGCAACTCCAGCTATGTTAATTATGTAGCTGAGTCAAAGTTTCTTAAACTGCATTTTGTCGCCATCCACACAGCAGGAGGTTGACAGAAGCACACTCTTCCTTTGACTTCCCTTACTCTTCGTAGGAGCAGGACTACTACTGCCAAGAGAAGTGGCCTCTCCATTTGAATTAGTGAATTTTCATGGACCCACTAAATTGAACCCTGGAAGATCAACTGTGGCAGCTTCGATTTTCTCTGCAGTGTAGACATGGACTTAGTGTTCTGACGTGGTCCTCTCTCCTCCTCCTCGCCTGAAAGATAATCTTCGTATGTGCCAGCATGTGCAAGTGCTCACTTGGTCTCACTCATTTGTCTTTCCCTTGTGGTAGAGACATTTGAAAAGACTTATTTTTTTAGTTTATAAACCTGCAAAGTCTACTTCAGAATTAAGATTTTAGTAATAAGAAGAGTTAGAAATTAATATCCCATGTAGGATGACCTTAGAGATTCCTCTATACAATTTCCACATGCCCCCTACTTAAGACAGATGTGTAATAGCCTGCACCTTTAATGCTGATCTAGATACAGCCAAAACATCCTATGCAGCTTGGCATTCCAAGCTCTTCATCTGCTTGCCCTTGATTTCTTCCATATTAATATTTACCTAATTCAAACTTATGCTGATGGTCTATTGCTGAAGAAGGATTCTGTTATTGCACTGGGCTACAATTGGTTTGTTGTCTGGAATACAACACATCCCGCATAAAAAAAAGCAGATTGTCAGACCACAGAGCAAAACCAGGTGTGGCTAAACTCAGCAAGGGGAGGGGTATACTTCCCAGGGCTAGACAGCACCCACTGTAGTGAGTGGGTCAGAATAGGTTTTGGGAAGAAGTTCTGCCATGTGAAGGAAAGTGTAGAGAGGATTCTCCCCCTGAATAATTGCTCTGCACCACCATAGCTAATTGAGTCTGTTGTGGAACTCGTGATTTGGCCTTTAAAGTAGGCTCTCTCCAGTACACCTACCAGAACTGCAAAACAGAGCCAGAATGAAGAAGACAGTGAGGAGGACACAATTCATTTTGCTCCCATTCATGTTTCTTCCTTTATCTGGAAGCAAAAACACAGTCATTACATGCCTTAGCTCATAATATTGAATGCTTACAAAATATCTACAAAACCAACCTTTCTAAGGTCAACAGGACCTAGAGGATCTAGTTCGGGACCAAGGTGCCAACGTGGAGATAATGATGCTCCAATAGCTCACAGGGATGTTAGGGAAATAAAGTCATTAGCATGAGAGATACATTGACTTTTACAGTGATATGGCTGATTGCTCTAATTTATGTGGCCCCTGTGACAGATACAGATTCTTCAGAGAATCCCAGCTCTCATTAATAAAGTTAATTTCTCCTAGGGTGACCAGATGTCCTGATTATACAGTGACTGTCCCGATATTATGAGTATCTTTGATAAGATCCCCTTTGCCTTCCCTGTCCTGATTTTTCACACTTGTTATCTGCTCAGCCTAGTTTCTACTTATCGGGTGATGAATAAAAAACATTCAAAATGTCAATGAAGTGGGTAAAAAAAGCAAAGTGATGAAGTCTGCCAGAAAATGCAGCCAGCTTGTTAAAGCAAGTTTTCTACCTCCATTCATTTCACTAAATTCTGAAGCCTAATGATACTTAAAGTAACACTGTTACTATTTCACTTCTGATCATTTTAGCAGAAATGCACGTGGTCAGCCACAAATTTCAGAGAGGAAAACTGTAAGTTGCTGCAGAAGTGAAAGCAAACTGAACAGAAGGGACACCGTTAGCAATGAAGATAAAGGAGCTTGGCAAGCAAGAGCATTGGTGAGAGAGTTCTCCAGGTAAAGGAGGAGTGATGATCATGGGTAAGTGGTTGTCTCTAAATATAGTGTGCTGAGCTTGTTTGGCAGTTCATGTATGGAGCTTTTTAAATGAGGCTGAGACACAAACCATTTTATACCTATCAAGCCTTAATCAGTGGACAAGTGGTACTCAGAAGGCCATGAAGAGCTCACTCCTAAGTGGGGAGCTTAGTAAATGGGGGAGTTTGGCAAGGGAGCTTGGAGGGGGTGTTTGAAGCAGGCAATATGAACTTGGCAGTCTTTAAACACTTCAACTAAACACAAAACCACCAGATTTATTAAAAAAAAACAACAACCCTCTATCAAGAAACTAATTAGCTGAACCAGTAAAAGAGAGATTGAAGGCAGAATCCCAGTAGCAGAGTAGTGGCTATCCTGTTTATTGCACCCAATGTAGTACCTGCCCTATAGACAGATGGTGTAAGTGTACATTCAATGCAGAGAGTGGGCTTTCCAGACCAAGGTGGATGAATTGGAGGAGCTGAGAGAAGCAGAGACACACACAGACAAGACCTTCTGGGACACAGTAGAACAATCCCACCCCTGGTCACCTCCTCTCTGCTGTTGAGGAGGGTGAAAGCCTCAGGGAAGGACAACATCCGACTGTAGCAGAGGGAAATTATCCCATAGCTGGGACTCTCTCTCCAGCTGATATTGTGGTATTCTCTTGCACTGAAGATAACTCTCCAGGACAGCAAATGCAAATTATTAGGAAAAGGCAGGTGTTAGTCATAAGGGATTTGATCATTAGAAACAGGAATCTGCATTTGCTACCACTGGGAGAACCGTATGGTGACTTGCCTGCCTGGTGTGAATGTTGAAGCTCTCTCGACACATCTGGATAGGCATATCTGTCATACTGATGAAGAGCTGGTGGTCATGTACATATAGGTACCAAAGACATAGGGAAGGATAGGAAGAAAGATCTGGAGGCTAAATTTAGGCTGCTAGGAAAGAGACTGAAATTCAGGACCTGAATGGCAACATTCTCTGAAATTATTCTAATTCTACACTCAGGACCACACAGACAAGCAGAACTGTTGGAGCTCAATACATGGATGAGACGATGGTATAGGGAGGAGAGGGTTTAGATTTATCAGGAAACGGGAAGCCTGGGTTCCACCTAGTCCAAAAGGGAACCAGTTTGACGACACCTAAAATCAAAAAGGTTGTAGAGCAGTTTTTAAAACTAAGAGCTGGGGAGATGCCGACAGGTGCTGAAAAGCACATGTATCAGACAGACATCCCTTGGGGAGGATCAAAAAATAGAGATTCTCTATGTCCAAGTAAAGAAGTGAGGATGGAAAATATGGGAAAGATCAGATGAGAAACAGTCAAATAATAATAAAAAAAGGCCCATTCAATCACATCAGGTAATGGCAATCAGGTAAATAGTAATCAGGTAAATAGTGACAAATTTTTGAAGTGCTTATTTATATACAAATGCTAGAAGTCTAAAAAGGATGAACTAAAGTGCCTTGTATTGAGTGAAGATATAGATGTAATAGGCATCATAGAAACTTGGTGGCATGATGATAATCTATGGGACACAGTTATACCAGGGTACAAAATATATTGAAAGGATAGAACAGGATGTGAAAGAAAGCATATCAAATGAAGTAAAAACCTTAAGTATGCTAAACTGTTCCATAGAATCTTTAACGTGAATATAGTAACGTGAATATAGTAGTAGGGATATATTAATGACCACCTGATCCGAATATTGAAAATGACTGTGAAATGCTAAGTGAGATTAGAGAGGCTATAAAAATAAACTCTAGGGGGAATTCAACTATCCCCATATTGACTGAGTACATATCACCTCAGGATAGGATGCACACAAAGTTTCTTGACATCTTAAATGACTGCTGCTTGATACAGCTAGATCTGGAACCCACAAGGAGAGGCAATTCTTAATTTAGTCCTAAGGGGAGCACAGGATCTGGTCCAAGAGGTCAATACAGCTAGACCACTTGGAAATAGTGACCATAATACAATAAAATTTAGCAGCAGCTCAACACTATGGCATTTCATTGCAGAAAGGGGAAACCACACAAAAAATGTAGTTCAACAGAAATTTAAAAGATATAGTGGCAGAAATAAAATACCTGCAAAGACAGCATAATAGAGGCTCAACTTAAATGTATGTCCCAAATTCAACGAAGTAACAGAACCAAAAAAGTGGCACCCTGGCTTCATCACCAAGTTTAAAAAAAAAGAAGTGAGAGATAAAAAGGCATTGTTTAAAAAGTGGAAGTTGAAACCTTGTGAGGAAAATAAGAAGGAGCATAAACTATCAAATGAAGTGTAAAAATATAATAATGAAGGCCAAAAAAGGAATCTGAAGAACAGCTAACCAAAAACCTCAAAGTTAATAGCAAAACTTTTAAGCAAGTCATAATCAGGAAGTCTGCTACACAACCAGTGGCCCCATGGGATGATCAAGGTGCCAAAGGAGCACTCAAGGACAAAAAATAATAATAATAATAATTGCAAGGAAACTAAATGAATTATTTGCATTGATCTCCATGGCTGAGGATGTTCAGGAGATTTCCAAACCTGAGCCATTCTTTTTAGGTGACAATCTGAGAAACTGTCCCAGATTGAGGTATCAATAAAGGAGGTTATGGAACAAATTGGTGAACTTAACAGTAACAAGTCACGAGCACCAGATGGCATTCACCCAAGAGTTCTGACAGAACTCAAATATTGAATTGCAGGATTACTAACTGTGCTTTGTAACCTATGCTTTAAAGCATCTTCGGTACCAAATGACTAGAAGATAGCTAATGTGATGCCAATCTTTTTAAAAAGCTTTACAGGTGATCCTGGCAATTACAGAACAGTAAGTCTAATGTCAGTATCGCGCAAATTGGTTGAAACTATGGTAAAGACTAGAATTGTCAAAAACATAGATACACATAATTTGTTGGGGAAAGTCAACACGCTTTCTGTAAGGGGAAACAATGCCTTACTGGAGTTATTTGAGGGGAGAGTTAAAAGACAGGAAATAAAGGGTAGGAATAAATGTTCAATTTTCAGAATGGAGAGAGGTAACTAGTGGTGTCCCGCAGCGGTCTGTATTGGGACCAATCCTATTCAACATATTCATAAAAGATCTGGAGAAAGAGCTACTCAGTGAGGTGGCAAAACTTGCAGATGATACAAAACTGCTCAAGATAGTTAAGATCAAAGCATACTTTCAAAAGGAGCTCACAAGACCAGGTGACAGGGCAACAAAATGGCAAATGAACTTTTAAGTTCATAAATGCAACGTAATGCTCATTAGAAAACAGTCCCACTTATGTACAAAATGAAGACTAAATTAGCTATTACCACTCAAGAGAGAAATCTTGGAGTCATTGTGGATAATTCTCTGAAAACATGCACTTAATGTGCAGCAGCAGTCAAAAAAGCAAACAGAATGTTAGGAATAATTAAAAAGGAATAGCAAAGAAGACAGAATATCATATTGCCTCTGTATAAACCCATGGTACATACACATCCAAAATACCATTTACAGATGTG